TCCCTCTATATTTGTGATAAAAAGATGGAGATGAGTTTTGACAGCTGAAGAGCTGAACCGTTAGTACAAAATAGATTTTGAACCAAAAATATTTCCTTAAGGAATTTTAAGTATAAATAGCCTTGAAGATGTAATAAGTCTGAATATGACAAAATTAGAGACTGTTTTATAGACTATTTAAGATTTATTTAAAAATTTTATATTTAATAGCCAATATATTTGCCTCTATTTTGCTCATGTTTAATAACTTTTCATATATTAACAGTAGTGTTGTGTATTGGTAAATCATGGAGACAGCTGGAGCTGAGTGTAAGGTGTTATACAAATGTTATGAGTGGCGCGGTATGCAGACCGGACGCCACCCCTCCCACACACCTTGTCACTCTACCTTTTCATAATGCAGTTGTCGTGACAGAGGTCCTCACTGCAATGTATTTCACTACCACTGTAGGAGCGGAATATTATCTCCTTCACTCAAGACTGTGATGAAATGCCGTCTCGTCCACTACTGTGAAGCTCTATGAAGTCATGATCGTCTGCCTGTTGCTGTGTCTACATGTACGCAGATACGCTGAGGTGCAGCCCAAGTGTATGAAGCATATGTTATAGTGACACACTGAAATTCAGAGCATCATGGCTCATGAGACTTACCTTTTTGTGAAAGTTTTTTTTGGTTTGAAATTTTGTTAGGTTTAAAAAATAAACCTTGTTACTTTTCTTGGTGCGACCTGCGGTCGTGAGGGGGGAGGTGTTACGAGTATGGCCTGGTCACAGACCGGGCCGCGGGGGCATTGACCCCCGGAACTCTCTCCAGGTAAACTCCAGGTAAATACCCGTTTTATTTTATAATTGGATAAGCCCCTTTATTTTATAATACATGTATATATGTTAAGGCAAATATTAATGCTAATATTGTATGTATTATATTATGTTTTGTTACGCTTTAATATTATTTCCATGTAGTGGGAAACCACTAGGTTTAAGTGCCGGTTAGCAGTTCAGGTACTGAGGTCTCCCTCAGTCACGTGACCAACCTGACATTGGCTTACCACTCAGTGGTACCGTCAGTAGGTTCACAGCACTCGCTGAGAGTAGGTTCACTGCCCTCACTCAGAGCAGGTTCACTACTCTTACTGAGTAGGTTCTCAGCCCTTGCTCTGAGTAGGTTCACTACTCTTACTGAGTAGGTTCACTGCCCTTGCTCAGAGCAGGTTCACTACTCTTACTGAGTAGGTTCACTGCCCTCGCTCTGAGTAGGTTCACTACTCTTACTGAGTAGGTTCACCACCCTCGCTCAGAGCAGGTTCACTACTCTTACTGAGTAGGTTCACCGCCCTCGCTCAGAGCCGGTTCACCACCCTTGCTCTGAGTAGCTTTACAGCACTCGCTGAGAGCAGGTCCTTCACACTCACTCTGACTAGCACTCACTTCTAGTCCGGGCTTGCATAGCCAAGGGAGCATATCTCGCTCGGTTAATCATTGACCTCTCATAAGAGACATGTCAAGTTTTCTGTGGTGGTCGTTTTTCTTTCATGACTGACTTCCTTTCTTAAGCTTGTCACTTTCGAGTTATTTATGCTCGGGTGAATTAATCTTCCATGTGACTGAATAAGCCTTGTCGGCCTTGATGTTAATTCGTGGTTTAAGCTATTCTTAGTCATGTTGGATGAAAATGAGTAAGTCCATCACTTACGAGTTCTTGTATACTCTGAATTGATAGTTCAGATAAGTCTTTATAAGCATTGTAAGTTACTTTGTGGCTAGGTCTTAATAACCCTTATAGTTGCATTTTATTTGTGATTTTAGTACAAAGCTCAACCTCAAGATGTTCATTTATTCATATCAATGTACTAGTACATACCAAGAGAAATGTAAGAGTTAAACTCCTTATTTTATGTTGATCATAACATATACATTAAGCTAAAACTCTACTAGTAAAGATTCTAAGTTTTAGTTATTTGTTTCGTAATCCTGAATTCTTAAGTTATTGTTGCAAAACCGAAAAACAGGCCATATGTTCAACAAGAATGCTACCTTAACACTCTACCATAACATTGGAGAAGGTTAAGAAGACGAGTCTTCTAACAAATGGGTGGCGACGAGGATGGGACGAGGGGTTTGGACTTCCAGCAAGCATGCATGAGCATGTTAGACACGAGTGAATGGAGACGAATGGTGTTTGGGACCTGACGAGCTGTTGGAATGTGAGCAGGGTAATATTTTGTGAAGGATTCAGAGAAACTGGTTAACCAGAGTTGAATCCTGGAAATGGGAAGTACAATGCCTGCACTTTAAAGGAGGGGTTTGGGATATTGGCAATTTGGGGGGACATCTAAGCTGTCATATTTGAGTGCCTCTGCAAAGACAGTGATTATGTATGAGTGATGGCGAAAGTATTGAATGATGATGAAAGTTTTTCTTTTTGGGTCACCCTGTCTCGGCGGGAAACGGCCGACGTGTTAAAAAAATCCATAAGTATTAAGTCAAATTTTGTGTTTTTGGTAACAATAGCTTTAAAAAATTCTTTGCCACTTAGAAGATGAAAGCACATATATTTTAAAAAATGGTGACAAAGAAGCTTTCAATTTGGAGATGTCTTTATAAAAGGAGTAATCTTTGCGATGAGGTGGATGGAGGCAGTGAAGATGTCATATTTAAGGTGATGTGTGGTTTAAATTTTATGCACAGAGTTGAGAACATGATGATTAGAAGGTGTTGAGCTACCTAAAGTGCAATTCAAGAGAGCTGAGGAGAGGGTGATGAGGTGGTTTGGGTACTTGAGGAGGACAGAGCAAAATAGAATGACTAGGAGGATATATAAATCTGTGGAGGTAAGAAGGGGTGGTGGTCATTCCAGGAAGGGTTGGGGCAGAGGGGTAAAGGAGGTTTCGAGTGCTAGGGGCTTAAACATCCAACAAGGTTGTGTATGCAAGTTAGATTGAATGTGACTCGACCTGTTGTTGGAGTGTGAGCAACGTAACATTTTTGAAGGGACTTAGGGAAATTGGCTGGCTGGACTTAAGTCCTAGATGAAGGAAGTACAGTGCTTGCACTCTGAAGGAGTGGTGAAATGTTGCAGTTTAGAGGGCCACCCAAACTGTGATGTAAGCACACTTCTGCCAAGAGAGTGATTGAGTGAATGACAGCCAATGTGCTTCCTCTTGTTTTTTATAATGACCCTGTCTCAGTGGAAGATGGCCATTGTCTTAAAAAAAAAGGTCTTGTCAGTGAAAGTCCTATCATTTAAGGGGTTTTCACTGTCACCCTTTTTAAATAATGGCATAATGAGCACCATCTTCCATTTGTCTGTCAATTTACCATCCATGATTGAAACTCCAAAAATTTAATCTAAAGTTTAAAGTACAGGTCTTCTGCACTTTCTTTCAAAAACTATAGTACAGTGGTCCTTGGTATTCATCGATCTTAGTTATCGGCGATTTTGGTTTTGGCCGACTTTTTTCGTTGATTTTTGGCTTTAGTTTTAATTGATTACCTTAGTTTTTGTCAATCATACAGAACCTGTCCAGTCCCCAGCACACAAAGCCACATCCCACACACATTCTCAGCCAGTGTAGCATTGTTTCTAGGTCAGTGAATATATCCTGCCAGGTCATACGAAACATTTCATAATAATCTATTGTTTTTGCCACTTGTTTATTGTGAGTGACTGCTAAATAAGCCACCATGGGCCCAAAGAAAGCTTCTAGTGCCAGCACTTTGGTAAAGAATGTGAGAAACATATAATTCAAGAAAAAGTGTGTAGAAAAATATGAAAGTAGTGGTGGTAGAGGGTGGTAGAGGGTGGTAGTAGTTGTGATGGTGGTAGAGGGTGGTAGTGATTGTGATGGTGGTAGAGGGTGCCTTCTTCAGAGATTCGGCGATTCTACTAACTCCTCCAATATTGTTGGGGTTATATAGGGCTACAGAAAACACCACTGCCTCAGCTGCTGCTTCACCACCATTATGTACAGCTTCTTCTCTCAGTGGCCCTTATACACCCAAACAACACCACCACCACCAGTCGTGACATAGATAATGACGTATTTTATTCATTCTAGAGCATATTAAATGTTTCTGTGTTATTAATATTGTTTATTATGTCATGTTAGTTGAATTGTGATAGATAAATATGCCATACAGTTGATATTAGTGTCATATTTTCCAACAATAAACTCGCCTCCTCTCCTCTGCCACAGACCAACAAGAGTCTTCAATAAAGGTAAGTGTGATGTTAAATGTTCATTTATGCATTTTATTAGTGTTTTACATTTATTTGTCATTCTTTTCTGCATGTAAATCTATATTTAAGCTAGGGAAGCAACCGCTGATAAGGACTTAGTACCTCGAGTCCTTATGGAGGGGGATTCCCCCTCCAAACAATAACCTCTCTTCCATCTCCCTTCCTCCCTGTCTTCCATCCAGCAACAACAACCTTCAGTAAAGGTAGCTGTCATGTGTAATGTTCATTCTTTTGTGCATGTATATCTACCTATAAGGTAAAAAAATTATTTTGTCGATACTTCTGGGTGTTTGGAACGGATTAATTATATTTACATTATTTATTATGGGGAAAATGGTTTTGGTTTTGGCTGATTTTGGTTTTGGCCGATGGCTCTGGAACGGATTAAACAGGAAAACCAAGGATCCACTGTACTGCTTCAGCTGGTCACACTTTTTTCGTTTGTTTTATCAGCATCCAGTAGTAATTTCTTAATTTCCTCTTTAGTTATCTTAATATCCTCTACCTCAGTTACCTGTTTGAAATTTTAAATGTGTATACATATACAAGAGTCAATGGTAGATAGAGAAAGATTGTTGATGGTGTGCAAATAGTGAAGGGTCACTGTGTAGTGTACAGACAGAGGAGTAACTGATGGAGTGTACAGATATGAGGGGTCACTGTTGATGTATAGGTAGAAGTATGGGTGAAAGTGTAGATAGTGATAGAGTTATAATTGTGGATACAGATTCAGGTATGAACATAGACAAGACAGACTTACAAGAGGTAGTGCAGTGTTGTCTGTATCTCTGGTAGTGAGAATCAGGAGGGTGTCGGCCAGGTACCTGCTGACTTCCACAACGGCTGAGCCATTGTAAGTTGTTACCCCATCCACCATCACCTCTACCTGCTGCATGAACACAGCAGATCTTCCCTGCTCCACCACACCTGCAAACATAATGTGGAATGATGACAATGATGATTATGATGATGACAAAGACAATGATGACGATTATGATGACAATAGTTATGTTGACAATGACATCAATACTACCACCACCACTACTGCTACCACTAATACTATACTATTATTATTATGCTTCTATAACTATACTGCTACTACTATTACTTTAATACTAACACTATACTACTACTACAGTAATAGTACTTGCAATTATGTATACTGTCCTAACTAAACCTAATGAAACACCACTGCATCCCACTGATACAGCTAACAAGATAAACGACTTCTTCTCGACCATAGGATCTAATCTCGCCAGTAAAATCCCACGTACCAATGCCCATGCCAGGGACTACCTAGATGGGAATTTCCCAAATTCCTTCTATCTTGTACCAACTGAGCCCACGGAAGTCACCGAGATTATAAAGTCACTTAAAAATAACTCAGGGAATCTGTCTCATGTCCCACCATTATTGTACAAGCGAGCGGCCCATGTCCTTTCGCATGCTATTTCATTACTTTTTAACAAGTCACTAGAAACTAGCACTTTCCCGACACTACTCAAGACAGCAAGGGTTACACCAATACATAAAGGTGGTGACCCTACAGATGTAAACAACTATAGGCCAATATCAAACTTACCATTGCTATCCAAAATCTTCGAGAAACTCGTGCAGAGGAGACTACATATATTCATTTATAACAGCACAAAACATACTCAACCCCTGCCAATTTGGATTCAGGAAAAATAAAAGCACTAATGATGCAAATGTAAAAATGCTAGATCTGCTTTACACAGCATTGGAAAATAAGGAATATCTGCTAGGAATTTTTATTGACCTAAGAAAAGCTTTTGACACAGTAGACCACAGCATCCTACTCCACAAACTTGACCATTATGGTATAAGAGGCCATGCGCTTGCATATTTCAAATCCTACCTTACTAATAGGTATCAGTGTGTCATCATTAACCCCTTCAGGGTCCAAGGCCAAAATCTGAAGTGGTGCTCCAGTGTCCAAGAAATTTTGAAAAAAAAAATTAATTTTTTCTTTCAGAATTAAAGAGTATATTTTTGTGAAGGTAATAAGACAAAAAAAAGTTTTTTCTGATCAGTACTTACCGAGATACAGTGGTGGGAAGTTGACCCAAAATGACCAGGTGGCGGCAACATCAGTGACTTCCGCAAAATCCCATTTTTTTATTTTATGTTTTTTTATACTTTTTTCTTTTCTTTTCTAATTTTTTTCTTTTTCTAATAACATTTGTGGCCTGTGAGACCAGTATAATGTATATTGTATTAGTGTACACTCATTGTATTGAACACAATAACTGCACTAATTTGTTTATCATTATATTGCTTACAAAACTTGTTTACAAGTTTATTGTAAACAAAATGATGAAAATATTAGTGCAGTTATTGTGTTGAATACAATGGTACCATATAGTACAATGGTGCCATATGGTACAATATGGTACAATGGCACATGATACAATGATACCATATAATACAATGGTACCACATGGTAGAATGGCACCATTTGGTACAATGGTACCATATAGTACCATATGGTACAATGGTGCCATAGGGTGCAATGGTACCATAGGGTGCAATGATACCATACAGTACAATAGCATATGATACAATGGTACCATATGGTACAATATGGCACAATGGCACATGATACAATGGTACCATATGATACAATGGTACCACATGGTAGAATGGCATCATTTGGAACAATGGTACCATATGATACAATGGTACCATATGATGCAACGGTACCATATGGTACATTGTACCATACAGTACAATGATACCATATGGTTCATTGTACCAGATGGTATTGTTGTATTCAACACACTAATATTTTCATTATTATTTTGGTAACAATAGTTGTTTACAACAAAAATATGCAAAAATGTTGTATATTAGTAATGTTCTATTACGTATTTACAAGTGTACAGGAACTTTACGTGTTCCTTGAGGTGGATGACAAAGCACTTTGTCTCGGAAACTGCGGAGTCAGTAGCTAGCTTGTGTCACCACTCACTCAGTCTTGGCTGGTGTCTCATGCCACCAACACCTATTGACCATATGGTACACGGTATATATTACAGGGTACCATATGGTACATTGTACTATATGATAAAGGGTACCATGCAGTACAGGATAACATATGGTGCAGGGTACCATATGGTACAGGGTACCATACGGTACAGGGTACCATATGGTGCAGGGTACAATATGGTACAGGGTACCATATGGTGCAGGGTACAATATGGTGCAGGATACCATATGGTGCAGGGTACCATATGGTGCAGGGTACCATATGGTACAGGGTACCATATGGTACAGATACAGGGATAACTATAGAAATAAGTCACCCTGACTTTTTTGCGTTATCCTAGGATTTTATACATATGCTACTATGTATGATAATCTATGTAATTGTATTTCTGTACACCTGAATAAACTTACTCAAGTGCATGTGGCATCATAAGTAAGTTTATTTAGTCATACACAAATAAAGTTACATAGAATATCATACTTAGCATGGGCACTTAGTGCCCATGCACTCTACCCCAGGGCCAGACTCATGGAACTCTGTGTTCATCAAGAACTGCAAGAAGCCCCTATCACGGGCCTTTTCCATCCTATGGAGAGGGAGCATGGACACGGGGGTCGTCCCTCAGTTACTAAAAACAACAGACATAGCCCCACTCCACAAAGAGGGCAGTAAAGCAACAGCAAAGAACTACAGACCAATAGCACTAACATCCCATATCATAAAAATCTTTGAAAGGGTCCTAAGAAGCAAGATCACCACCCATCTAGAAACCCATCAGTTACACAACCCAGGGCAACATGGGTTTAGAACAGGTCGCTCCTGTCTGTCTCAGCTACTGGATCACTACGACAAGGTCCTAAATGCACTAGAAGACAAAAAGAATGCAGATGTAATATATACAGACTTTGCAAAAGCCTTCGACAAGTGTGACCATGGCGTAATAGCGCACAAAATGCGCGCTAAAGGAATAACAGGAAAAGTCGGTCGATGGATCTATAATTTCCTCACTAACAGAACACAGAGAGTAGTCGTCAACAGAGTAAAGTCCGAGGCAGCTACGGTGAAAAGCTCTGTTCCACAAGGCACAGTACTAGCTCCCATCTTGTTCCTCATCCTCATATCCGACATAGACAAGGATGTCAGCCACAGCACCGTGTCTTCCTTTGCAGATGACACCCGAATCTGCATGACAGTGTCTTCCATTGCAGACACTGCAAGGCTCCAGGCGGACATCAACCAAATCTTTCAGTGGGCTGCAGAAAACAATATGAAGTTCAACGATGAGAAATTTCAATTACTCAGATATGGTAAACATGAGGAAATTAAATCTTCATCAGAGTACAAAACAAATTCTGGCCACGAAATAGAGCGAAACACCAACGTCAAAGACCCGGGAGTGATTATGTCGGAGGATCTCACCTTCAAGGACCATAACATTGTATCAATCGCATCTGCTAGAAAAATGACAGGATGGATAATGAGAACCTTCAAAACTAGGGAGGCCAAGCCCATGATGACACTCTTCAGGTCACTTGTTTCTATCTAGGGTGGAATATTGCTGCACTCTAACAGCACCTTTCAAGGCAGGTGAAATTGCCGACCTAGAAAATGTACAGAGAACTTTCACGGCGCGCATAACGGAGATAAAACACCTCAATTACTGGGAGCGCTTGAGGTTTCTAAACCTGTATTCCCTGGAACGCAGGAGGGAGAGATACATGATTATATACACCTGGAAAATCCTAGAGGGACTAGTACCGAACTTGCACACGAAAATCACTCACTACGAAAGCAAAAGACTTGGCAGACGATGCACCATCCCCCCAATGAAAAGCAGGGGTGTCACTAGCACGTTAAGAGACCATACAATAAGTGTCAGGGGCCCGAGACTGTTCAACTGCCTCCCAGCACACATAAGGGGGATTACCAACAGACCCCTGGCAGTCTTCAAGCTGGCACTGGACAAGCACCTAAAGTCAGTTCCTGATCAGCCGGGCTGTGGCTCGTACGTTGGTTTGCGTGCAGCCAGCAGCAACAGCCTGGTTGATCAGGCGCTGATCCACCAGGAGGCCTGGTCACAGACCGGGCCGTGGGGGCGTTGACCCCCGAAACTCTCTCCAGGTAAACTCCAGGTAATATGTTTGGAGAACATAGGATAACCCAAAAAAGTCAGACAGATTTATTTCCATTAGGGTCCCTGTACCCTGTACCATATGGTACAATGTACTATATGGTACAATGTACTATATGTACATTGCACCATATGGTACCATTGTACCATATACCATTGTATGACATGGCACCATTGTACCATATGGTACCATTGTACCATATGGCACAATGGTACCATATGGTTCAAAACCATAGAATTCGTGAGGAAATGGTATGGTGATACCGACAAGATGTGGAAAAAGACACTTATGTACAGTTCAGGACATTTATTAAAGGAAACGTTTCGCCACGAGTGGCTTCTTCAGTCCTAATACAGAGAAAACTAAGAAAACATTTATATATATAGTGGCAGGAGTCAGGTGAGGTGACGCGTGGGTAGAGGTGGTACTTTCCCCTACACTTCATACGTGACTGTAGGAAACGTGCGGCACGTATCCTCAGCAAGACCAACACCTATCAAATTGAAGAAAAGCCTCCAAGTTACATCGTTTTACCGGTCAGCAACGTTGCCACTAATGTTTCAAACATGTTTGACAGAAAACTGGCTAAAATATCTACCAGCTCTTCAACTACTATTAGGAACCTGATACAAAAACCCAAGCATGATTCTGGCACAAGTGCAGGAATCTACACTATACCATGTGGGGGGTGTGACAAAGTATATGTAGGGGAAACAGCCAGAACTCTGGACATTAGAATAGCAGAACACAAAAATGCTTGCAGAAATGATGACCGCAAAAACGCA